GCGGATGCACGACTTCGACCGGCCGCCCAACACCCTACACGACCGACGCAAGCGAAAGCACGCGGCGCCGGGCCACTGGACTCGGCCAAGGCGCTGCACGACGGGAAGCCGGTGCCGAACTACCCGCACGGCAGGCCTAAGCCGGAGGCGCAGCAGCTCGAGTACCTGCGCTACCAGATTGAGATGCGCGTGCTCGGCCTCGGCTGGAGCGAGTACGCGACTCGCTGGTCGTCCGCGGCCGACTCTAGGATCGGCACCGTCGCGCACCTGACCAAGCTGCTCGAGGAGCTCATCAAGGGGGAGACGGCGCGCAAGCGCTTTCCTGCGGACAGCGTATCGGGGCTGCCGACGGAGGCGGCGCCCCCGCAGCTGGCAGCGGGCGGCTCGACGCAGCTTGGCACTCTGCGACCCCCCAGGCTGATGGAGTAGTCACAGATAAGCCGGATGAAGATTCTGCCCCACACAGCCCCTTACCCCTTCACCCTCGCCTCGCTGCTTGGTGCTTCTGAACACGCAGTCGTCCACGCTGTGGGGGTTGTGTGTGGGTCCTGTGTCTGGGAGGGAGGGAGTGGGGTGCAGGTTGTTTGAATGCCGTGGGGCTCCTGCCCGTGTCCCGGGCGTGGAGATGCGAGGGTCGCCCCCCCTTGCCCCACCACTTTGTGTGTGTGGAAGACGTTTACCTTACTAGGAAAAGTGCCCGCCGTTCTCCATGGCGCGCGTAGCTATGACAGGGACCGCGGCCGCGGACCCGGTGGCGGACGGGGCTGGCGCGCAAGCGCCGGCCACCGTCGTGCCGCCGGGGATGCGCAGCGGACCCTGGAATAGCTACGATAAGGCGCAACTGGAGGACGCGGTGGGTGTCGCAAGGTTGTTCGGTGCGTCCTGTGTCAGGGTGATAAGGCCTGGCTACGCGACCATCGAGGTCGACCTGAAGCACGAAAAGGCCGCGGGCGACCGCGAGTCGGTGAAGGCGGCGGAGCGCTCGTACATCGAGCGCACCGCGCCGAAGAAGAAGGAGCTCACAGATGAGCAGCTTGCGGCAAAGGCCGCGTCTCGCAAGGCCAAGAAGAACCGGCAGAAGGAGCGCCGGGCGAAGGAGGCTGGCGAGCGCGCGGCCGCGAGCGAGGCCGAGCGCGTGGAGCGCCCGCGCGCGCAGCTACGCGCGAACATCGAGTACGTGATGGACGGGCTACGGTCTGCAGCTGCGCGGGCGCGCAGCCAGGCCGGGTCCAAGACTCGGGTCACATATTCGCTGCCCCCAGAGAGGGACGACGGATATCGGCGCGGCCCTAGCGTGGTGTGCGCCACGGTCCCCCAGGGCACCGTGGCGACGACCGTCGCCTCGGACTGGCTCGCGAACGAGCTGGCCGAGCACGGAGAGATTGATGCGGCATGCCGCGACAAATATGTCATGCACCTGATGACGGCCGCCGGCGCCTCGGCGCCGGCCGACGCCGTGTTCAGGTTCACGGCTGGCGAGGCGATGCAGACCGAGGACGACGAAGGCGTCCGACTAGCTGGCTTCACCCATATCTTACCCTCTGCCCCCCCCTCCTGCTACCCCCCAGGCTAGATGTAGTCACAGATAGCCCCACACAGCCCCTTACCCCTTCACCCTCGCCTCGCTGCTTGGTGTTTCTGAACACGTAGACGACCACGCTGTGGGGGTTGTGTTATAGGAGTAGGAGTGGGGTGCAGGTTGTGCTCACCCACGGCACCGGGCCGGTGCTTGCACTTTGAATGCCGTGGGGCTCCTGCCCGTGTCCGGGCGTGGAGATGCGAGGGTCGCCCCCCCTTGCCCCACCACTTTGTGTGTGTGGAGACGTTTACCTTACCTTACCTTACCTCTCTAGGCGGTAAGGTGTGGGAGCTCCACAAACCATGTTGAGAGAGAGAGAGAGATACATACATAGAGAGAGAGAGAGAGAGAGAGAGAGAGAGAGAGAGAGAGAGAGAGAGAGAGAGAGAGAGAGAGAGAGAGAGAGAGAGAGTGTTGTCTGGTGCATCTTTACGATACACACGCGTTTCTCTACTCCTCCCCCCCCCCCCCCAAGGAGGCCTCTTTTTTAGACCCGCGCCTCTAGCGCCTTGGCTATGACGAAAAAAAAAGACCACTCTCACAAGACGCCCCTGCAGAACTAATTCGTGCTACTCTCCTTGGAAAATCACCCCTTCCCCATGGCGGACGTCCTCCCTAGCTGGGCACCTTCTCGGCTC